GGCTGCGATATATAGCTGGGCCAGTGCTCAGCTGTAGGCGCGAAGTGTTAGACGTACACTTTGGCGACAGGCTACTGGAGAGAGGTGCTGTATACCACTAGCGGCAGGATAGTGCTAAAGGAGCTACAGAGGCAGAGAAAGGTCTACAGCGGCATTGAGGGCAGTGGAGTATGCACGTGGGCGCCATAGCTTGGGACTGCTACCAGCCACTGGCCGGCCTTCACTCTGCGGTCAGCTACAGCTCAGACGTCCTCTTCCAGTGTACAGTATTGGAGACATCTCGCACAGAGAGAGAGAGAGAGAGAGAGAGAGAGAGAGAGAGAGAGAGAGAGAGAGAGAGAGAGAGAGAGAGAGAGAGAGAGAGAGAGAGAGAGAGAGAGAGAGAGAGAGAGAGAGAGAGAGAGAGATTCTTCTCATTCCTTGTCTTCTCCTCCTCCTCCTCCTCTTTTTTTTTTTTTTTTTCCTGAATAAAACAGAACTTTATGGTTCCGGCTCCTTTTCCATTTTGGGGAGCTTCAGTCCGGTTCCTATTCCACCGGCAAGTAAGAAGGGATTACAATAAGTACTCACTCACGCTCCTCCCCCTCATGGTGTGGATGCCCAAAGGACAGCATTGATTGCTTCCTGAAGGAAGGATGTACCGCCCTTCACCCCTGCTTGAGTTAGTCTGATCTACTGGGATGATGTTCTTATTGCGAAGAATGAGCCTCATGGAGCCCTTATCAAACATACAAGTGTTCTGGGCTGTGGCCTCCAGCAAGCCTTGTGCCCGCCCTAAGTGAAGGCGGGCCTGAATATCCACGTGAGGCCTGTTCTCGACAAGTTTTCCATATGTGGGTACTCAGACAGTTGCAGCACGCCAGCTGGTTACAGAGCAACATGAGCCTCCAGGCGCTTTCCAGAAGCAAAGGGCTGCACTGTACAGTTGAGCCCAGGGCTCAGGCGGTTGCGCCCTGGGCACACGCTGTGTGAGGCCGACACATCCCGGACTGGTTACGGGCCAATTAGGAAGCAGCATTGTCGTCACACATGTGCAGCGAGCCAATGAGAATGCTGCAACCACTTGGAGGCTGGGAGGCTGCCTGGACGTGCCTAACTGCACGAGGCCCAGTCCAGTTTCGGAAACTGGGCCTGGGCGCAGATACTTGGGGCCCAACTGAAGCTACTGGGCCCCCACACGCCAGGCCAGGACAGCCAGCAGCGACACACTTTCCATAAAGGAAAGTGTGAGCCCTTGGGAGAGGCATTCTGGCCTAGGCAGGCAATGCGGACACGCTGCTGCGTTGCTGCGCAAGCGTCTGCATGGACGCTGCTGGTCGGACGCGCGCACAGGCGCAGTGGTGAGAGTGGCGCTGCTGATGCAGCGGGCGCATAGCAGCCATAGCTGGGAAGCTGGGTTGCAGGGCAGGTGATGGCGAAGGTGGTCTTCGGGTAGGAGGCGCATGATGTGGGGAGACAGGGGGTGGTGACGAGAGGAGAGAGAACGTACCCGGTGTATGTGGGTGATCGGCATTGGTGTTGACGTCACATACATTGGTCCTCGACTTCAGAGTGATCCAGTCGCGAGAACGTAGATATGCTAGATGGGCTGGGCGCTGGGCACCAGACAGTACGTGAGACATTGGATACAGTGTTGGTGTGACCAGAGAGTGGCGACATTGACATTCGAGTTCATTGTATTGCTCTTATTTGGACGGTATCTTGGTGCATTGCACTCTCTGCTTGGTTCATGACTATCTGAGCTACTTCGTGATTTTGCAACTTGGATTTCTGTCTATCGCTCTCGCTCATATTCCCTGCATTATCCTGTACTTGATGCTAAAACCCTAACCCTCGTTTGATGCCTCTTTGTCTGTAGCTTGTCCTTGGCGGTAGTTTCTATATCATAGCTGTTGCATACACTTATTGTGGTTGTTGGGGCTGGTCTGAATTCTAGGTATCATTTGAAGATGGGAAGGCTCTTGTTTGGAGTTCGGAGAAGGCTTTCTTGGTAGGGTGGGTGCTGAGGCTTGGGGGGTGGCTGGGCTGGGGGGTTTTGAATAGGCGTAGTGTATTGGGTAAGGAGGGTGTGGGGGGGAATAGTTGGAGAGTGAGGTGGTATGGAGTCTGTCGGTTGGGGGGGGGGGGGGGGGGGGGGGGGGGAGGGGGGAGAGGGGGGGAGGGGAGTGGCTGGTTAGATGTGGGTTAGGGGAGTTATAGAGGCGCTTGGTGTCTGTGTTATGATTAGCCAATTTCTAAGGGTTAGTCTGTCGTTGTTAATTGTGCCAAATAGACCATTGCCTTTTTTATTATTTCGGTTTTTTTGTCGGGGTCAGTGGGGAGGTGATTGAGTTGTTTCTTCCAGAGGGTGTGGATATCTGTGTCTATTAGTTGTTTGATGGTGATGAGTGGGTTTTCTGGGGTGGTGAGTCGGTCATCAAAGGTGGTTCCATCTATGTTTCCATATGGCCCAGAGGGTGCTTTTCTTGATTTGGGATGAGAGGAAGGCTTTGAAGCCTTTCCTCCTCCTCCTACTGCTGCTTCTACATCTTCTTTTCCTATACCTCTGTATCTGTCGGCGCCGCCTCCTCCTCCTCCTCCTCCTTGCTCCTCATTCTCCTCATCCGCCGCCTCTACCTCTTTGTATCCACCTCCTCTGTCCTATTTCCAGAGAGAGATTGGAGATTTGGCAACTATTTCAGGGAGACTTTGTTCCCAGATGCAGACTTCATGTTGTATCTGGTGACAATTGCGGAACTCGGAGAGCGGCTATATTGTTATTGGGCTGCTGCACTTGAGTTGTAACTCCCTTCTTCTGACTCTCTCCGCTCCTTTCCCCACCACAATCATATGTGGATCTTCTTTCCTTGCATGTATTGCACAAGGAGGGGCCTTTTGTCCATGTATGCCCCCGCCTTGCATTTCGACATGACGATGATGTATTCGTGTGTTGAGTCATGAATCTGATCAGTCAGATTGTTAATTTTCAGTCGTCTGCTGCTTTGCTTTTCTTTTTTTTCCTCCAAAAAGGCCTTTCATTAATTACTTAGAAAGGAGGGGCCGACCACCGCACATAAAGAACTCCTCCCTCTCCTGTATTGTTTTTCTTTTTCCTTCCTTCCTCTTCCTCCTCCCCCCCCCCCCCCCCCCCCCCCCCCCCC